ATGAACAGTTTTTCCTCAAAATACATCAAAACATGTCCCACATTTTGGCGATTTTTTCCTATATGAAGGTCCTCCAACATTTTGCAAACAAAAATCCCAATAACTTTTTTATTTATCGATGGATTTTTAAAATTTAAAAACCATAGTTCTTTAAATTTACTCTATTTTCATTTAAGTCAATTTTTAAGCAATTTGGATGAAAATTTAATTTTTCATGTCATTGCTAAGTTATCTTGACCTCGAAGAGGGTCTCTTGGCCAAAGATTGTACGTAACAGGATAGTTCCCTTAGCCAAAGAAGTGTCTGCGAAAGTCCGCGCATTGGTTTAGATGACACTGCAGTCTTTGTTTTGAAGCTCTCTTTCATTTCTTCTGAAGAATAGAAATTGCACAGTGTGTTAGTTTCACTTTTATTATTTTTCACACAAGTAGGGTAACTCTGATCGCCATCCGCACTTTTCGAAGAGGACGCCACTGAATTTTAAGGACACTTTTTTAATTGGTTCAAACAGAGGAATGAACTATCTTGTTATACATGATGTTTGTCTTGGCCAAGATATCGATAGATAAAGTGACGCGGTCCAGCTGAGGGATTATTAAAGCCTTGAGCATACTTTTAAAATTAGGAATTAGGCTAGATCTAAATCTATACTTTAGAGGGTCGTACACATAGCCATGAGGCTATGCACACGGAAGAGTCATACGCATATAGCCACGGCCAATCTAAATACTTCTTGTGCGAGACATTTATTAACACTTAAAACCCTATACCGCTGGTAACCGCTGACGCTGTATTTTCCTATACCGCTGGTCGACTTTATCGTTTAATTCCCAGTGCTAGACACAGGGGATGTAACTCCAGATAACTCTGTCGCGAGCAGAAAGTACCGATAATGTCATGAGAGCAAGTTCTACACCAAAAGTTTGGAAATTTTGCTAGTTTTTAAGAAAAATCAGTCACTTTTCGCTGCCAGGCCCTTTAGGCGCAAAATTTTTGACATTTTTTACCCTAACCAGACCCCAATAATGATCTCCCAGTCGGATATATCGATAAATATGACTGTTGAAGACGATTGCAATGTGCCGCATAACATAGATGATGATTTTGAAGATACTGGAATTGGCAGGGGATCACCACTAAAGCTACCAGAGGCTAAATCTATGGCTGGGTCTAATGATACTTTGACTGAAGTGGAGTCGGGGATCACACACAATACTTAACTCATAGAGTTGGTCCTAAAAACCAGTGTTTTAACCTGTTCCCCTTTTGTTCAGACTGTGCATTCATATATACATACCATTTTCAAACTTCAGTAAAATCTAACAACAATTAAAGACACAGTAAACAAAACAATGAACCAACCTATTTTTTCCTAGTATCTCAATTTTAATTCAGGATTCCATGGAGGTATGAAAAAAAAGAATTCAGGGTTTTAAGGGTTAAATAGATCTAATGTAGGCCTAAGTAGGCTAAATTCATATGGGTTACTGACATGCCAAATTCCAAAGCAGTTGTCGTAGAAAAAAGGTGTCCTTGTTGACTGTGTAGTCACAGTAAATTTCAGATTGAGCCTTTTTGTTTTTACTCCTTTTTCCAATAGGCCTAGTTCAAAAGATATGAAATTACAGCAAGCACCAAGCACACATCTATGATTGGCCCAAATATAGATGACGAACTTCCGCCATATATTTTTGTCGTCTTCCGGGGCTTCCATCACCAGTTGACTAGATCTCACCGTGGCCGCTTAGCGGGTGATGGGCTATGTCACAAGATTTCATCGCCGAATGCTTGGGCTGTGTGTGCGCACACATGCTTGTGTGTGTGTACAACTTTTTTTGTGAATCTTTCTTCTTTGTTATAATTAAATGAAATGTGTTTGCTTTCCAACTGCTATTTAATATTAAGTGTTGTGGATGGATAAAAGGAAGGCTTGCTAATGAGAATGACATGTGTCTTTAAAAGGACTATAATATGGAGATTGTAGTCTTGATTATTGCTTGTTCTTTGGACCTCTCAAAACCACTAATTAATTTGATTCACTGTATTTTGAAAAGGGATGTCAGTTTTGTTATATGGAATGAAATGGCTTTTCCTGTTTTTCAATATATTGTATGCTCAGGATGCTGATCAAGAAGGCAATATGCAGCTGATCGTGGAAGTCAGGCACACTGAGCCACTATTTTTTCAAGGTTTAGGGGAAGGCTTCTATTTTCTGTGTTTCTCATATTATTATTTTTTCTTTTATGTCCCCAGAACTAGAAATGGCTCCCCCATCCTACTCAGATCTCGGCAAGTCTGCCAAGGATGTTTTCAGCAAAGGATATAGTAAGTCACTTTCACCTTCTTATATAATAATATTGGCTGCTCTTATTGGCCCACATGGGCAAATAAGCTGGGGCTTATTGGCCCACATGGGCCATTTAATGCGTGATTTTCAAAGTATTTCATACATGGTATTGGCCCAACTTGTTCTCTAACTTCTTAGCTATTGTTCATTTTTTTATTTTTAGCATTAGATTGGAAAACTATACATTCTCAATTTAAAATATTTGATTGATGGACTAATTTGTTGAGCTATTTTTGAAGATGAGAGGACTTTTCGTTCTTTCTCTAGCTTTAACAGTTTTAGATTTAAGATTAAATAATAAATACGGCTATTATTATTAGCATTCTGTATCCTTAATAACACAAATGAGGTTTTGTAATCTTTTGGGATCTTGTTGGTTTGGGAGTCATTCAAGATCTAGATCTATACTTCCTTAATAATATAGTAGAAATTGACTTACTTTCAGATGTAAAATATATTAACTTAAGCCTTTGAGAAGTGTATAATTGTAAAATAAAATAATATCTGAGCTTTTGCCAAAAGGTGGGGGTGTTTGCATGAGGACTTTTTTAATCAACCACTACTCATGGTAAAATATGTTTTCTTCTGAAAACTTTATGCATATGGCAAGGAAATAAGTTGGTCAAGCTGCATGAGCAAGTAGATTGATGTGTGCATCTTATATCTCTACATAGAAAGATAATAGTACTAAAAATAGGGCATTTTTTACTCATCCTGAGTGCACACGTAATTGTATGTTAAATACAGAATATTGTTAATCTTAAACTATCAAACAGTAGTGCATTCAAACATTGAAAATAGTTTGTATACACCATCATAACAGCGTGTGTCCATTAAAAGGGTTTTATTTTTTTATATTAATGATGTTATTGCTGAGTAAAATTTATAAGTTCGTTCATAACTCGTGTCATAATTACATCATCAGACTTTCCAAGGTCTAGAAAACCCAAATCGTTAAATATATCATCCCGGGAAATGACCGGTATTAAACATTGGTTTGACATTGATCCATCAGAAGGGTAATTTTCTGCTCCATCGCATGGTTTTGCTTAAATATGACTTTGATTGAGATAATCCAGGTTTGTCATAATGATGTTATGAACAAACACTTTATGATATTTCTGCAAAATATCATGTGAGGGACTTCCCACTTTTTCACAACATCCTTTTACATGGTGGAATGAACATGGAAGAGTATCGTGCTGATGACTCAAAAGAGAAGCGAAGGAGAGGAAAAAATATGCTTGTCATAATGGATTGTCATCATGTTATGAACGTGACAGTGTGTCATAATGGTTATGGACGAAACCTTATTCCATGTAATTTACAGTTGTTTTGGGATGTATTTTTAATTTTAACCCAACTTGAGGATGTATCAGACCTTGCTTACATTCTGATATTTTGATTTTTATGATAAGTGTATGGGTCTGGATTTTAATTAGTATTTTACTTTTGTAGTAATGGTTATGAACGAACTACATATTGTACTCTGAGGGCTTTACAGAGTTGATAAACATTAAAAACATGTACACAGATACATATTATGAGGAAACTTTCATTTAATATGAAATTTTAAAGTAAATGACAGGTCAAAATATTAATTTTTAGGTCAAAACTGAAGTTTGTCATAATAGTTATGAACGAACAATTAAAGGTATTCTAAGGGTTTTTCAGTGATTAAACTTTGAATTCTTCCAACATATAACCTTATTTTGAGGAGAGTCTCATAAATTAAAACAATTTTATGTGAATGACAGAACAATAAGTTAATTTTTTGGGCCCAAAGTAAAATTTGTCATAATAGTTATGAACGAAACAGTGTGTCATAACGGTTATGAACGAAACCTAATTCCATGTAATTTACAGTTGTTTTGGGATGTATTTTTAATTTTAACCCAACTAAAGGACAGAATAGACCTTGCATACATTCTGATATTTTGATTTTTATCATAAGTGTATGGGTGTGGATTTTAATTAGTATTATACTTTTGTAGTAATGGTTATGAACGAACTATTTATAGTCCATTTTATATATTTTGAGGGCTTTTCAGTGTTAACAAACTTTAAAAACATGTACAGAGATACATATTATGAGGAGAGTTTCATTTAATAAAAGTTTTAAAAAATGAATGACAGATCAAAATGAGTAAATTTTTAGGTCAAAATTGAAGTTTGTCATAATTGTTATGAACGAACCATTTTAAAGGTATTCTAAGGGTTTTTCAGGAAATATAAACTTTGAATTCTCCCTACATAGAGGAATCTATCATTTTAAGGAAAGCCTCATAAATGAAAACCGTTTTATGTGAAAGACAGAACAATATAAGTAAATTTTAGGGGCCAAAAGTAAAATTTGTCATAATAGTTATGAACGAAACAGTGTGTCATAATGGTTATGAACGAACTTTAAATTTATGCATAATATGCCCTAAGACCAGTTTGCGTTTAAAAATAGCTGTTTAATGGTCTTTCATTTATCACTTGACTATAATTAGTCAATTGAGTGTTATTTTAGACAATTCTAGTCGATGAAACTTGATATAATTGATAGTATTTTGGTCACTTATTGTTCGTTCATAACTATTATGACACAAAAAAGTAATTTTATCAAAAATTAATAAAGATTTTTATAAATTGTCAATTCTATGTAGTTTTGGAAGTTATTTGCTATGTCTCAAAATATAACATCAGCCTAGCTGAAGAAAGGAACTTCGAGTATTCATAAATTTGTGTCATCATTGTTATGAACGAACTTTTTGCTATTTCCGTCATTCAAGTCAGAATTACACCAAGACCCTTGCATATACAGCTTTGGCAGTTACTGAGTCTGAAAGAGCAATCATTAGGCTATATAATATGGGTGATTAAAGAATTATTACATAAAGTTGATTTTGGACCTCATTTGTCACACCCAGGTATCCCACCTTTTGGCAAATGCTCATCTCTGATATTTAATGGGGATTTTGCTGTTGTATTTTCATTTTAAATTATCATTTGTGGATGGGGGGGCAACCAAACACAGGGGAGATAACTCGTAATTTTGTGGGCAAATAATAAATGTTCTAGGGGAAATTTTATATGCCCCTGTGGGCCAATAAGCACTCCGATTAATATATATAATTCTGGTCATGTTTAATTACTCAAGATGTCAATTGAAGAGAAAAAAAGAATATTTACTGGTCTTAAGATGTGTCTTTTAAAAGTTTCAGGGATATGTGAAAGCGGGTTATTCATTATATTAATTTTTTTTTTTTTTATTATGAAAGACCCAGATCAGTTTGGCATAAAACATTTTTTGGTAAAATTTCATTTTCACAACAGCACGCAGAGGGACTGCTTTTGGGGCCCAAACTGTCACATATTTTTTCCTGCAGAACACAAAATGGGCCATTAATAATACCCACTACTGTACTGTTTTCCTACAAATTGCTTCAGCATTGCAGTGATGGTACATTGTGTTCCATGAGTCAGAAAGCTGTGAAAATTTTTCTCTTTTTGCTCACTCATCCCCCATCCAGAGTTGCCCCTTGCTCCCTACCATGCCTTCCAAGCCTGAATTCTTTGGCAGAAATTATCTAATGCATGTTTTCTTTATCTAAATACATATGTGAAGTACCTGTCCTATATAGATGTCTCTACTCCTAGAAGTTCCACCTGTATTCATTTTTTAAAATTGGCTGCAACATGCGGTTGATTTTCCCCCCACCTGACTAGAAAGTAGAACTTGCCAATTACTATTAGTATGCCTTAGTGGGTTGAGTCTTCAAGCATTTTCCAATTAAGACTCAACACTCTTATCGACACCATTTAAATCATTTAGGAGGCTGGCTTCCTACCCTATGTGTCAGGGCAAACTCAGGCTGATAGTGAGAGGGATGGATGCATCCCAGCAGAAAGACCTAAGACAAGATGAAAAATTTCTCCCCTCTATGGAATCAAACTCAAGTCGCATGAGCGAAGCATCTTACCGCTACACATTTTAATGTGGGGGGGGGGGGGGGGCTAATGAAAAAAGGTGGTGCAGAATTCTGTTTTGATGAGGCGCTGTCATACGGCTCATGGGGTATTATCAGATGAAATTTTCATGAAGTTTCCTCTTATTGTATAGCTATTTGCAATTTTTCATTACGAGCAAAGGACTAGAAAATGCATTCTGCTTGGTTATACTGCTAAAATCCAAAATATTTCTTGTACCTGATTTACTTCATCTGAAGTAGTTGTACCCATTTAGATGGCTGTTCATCACAATGTGACAATTCATGGGGTGGGGTATAGAATGTAGTCTTGCTGCCTACGATTTCTTTTCTCCAAATTCCAGGAATTGACACATCTGCAAATGGGTCGTATCAAAAGTTACCCTCTTTTGTTGAAGAAAATCTCTGTCCTAGTCTTAATCTTTGTGTTTTCCTTTTCAGTTTATGTAACTACAAGTGCTGATAAAATTGTACAATTTTGAATGTTTTCAGTATGTACTTACATTGAGATTGTACTTTTTCATCAGACTGGGGATTTTTCAAGCTTGATGCTAAATCAAAAACCGACAATGGTGTTGAATTCAAATCTGCCCTGAACTCAAACAGAGACACAGGCAAAGTAGCTGGCAATTTGGAAACCAAGTACAAGTGGAGTGAATATGGTAAGCATGCTATCTTTTATTTTATGTCGTTTTTCATACTTTTTCCAGATTTAGTTTTATGGCTCCGGTACATGAGATTTCATCATTCCTATTTTTGGTACTACAGTCTTGCAAACATATAGTGAACAGAGGTCCAAATATTTGTTACTCACCATATGTTTGACATGGTGATATCAGGTGCTCTGAAAAATAATGAAATCAAAGAAATTGACATTTTTCCACCTCTTTGGCAATATTAACGATAATGTTTTGGGCTCAACAAATTTTATTGCATGGATTTTACTGAAAAACATTGAACAAAAGCACGAAAGATAAATTTGCAGCTTCCAGGGACACTACAGGTTTGAAAGTCAAGCTTTGGTGGCCATGTTCTTGCCAGATTACCTCTTGCACCAGATGAGCCCCTCCCCCTTCAATTGCAAATATCTCAACCTCTCTTTGAGATAGATGGGTATTTTTATTATCCAATAATAACTCTGTTCCTCACAATTGAGGAGCATCTGTTTCCTTCATGTAATGATACATATTATGCTGTTACCTATCAGGCCAAAACCTCATGACCAACATTGTTGGATCAAGGCATTTTTGTGTACTGCTTTAGTCTGACCATGTTTTAGAAAATAATGATTTTTTTTGTTAGGGCAAACAACAAAAATTCAAACATGTCTTTTCTATATAAAAAAAAGGATACTGGTATTTAAAAACACCAAAGTGGTTTATTTGGAGCTACCTAAATTACAGTGATTTAAAAAATGTATATTTAACTTACAATCAACTCCCTTCTTATAAAACCTCACATATACCACTTCAGTGGCTAAGTAGGATACTTGTATACTCTCATTTTGTAGATACGTTTTTTGTTGGGGTTTTTTCATATTGGTCCATGGTAACCATTATAATAAACATCAGTCATTTTGAGTATTGTAACAAGCATATCTTTGAGCTGTCTAATCCAATCAATATGGGTGGTTGGCGGGTGCTCTGGTGTGGTTTGCTGCTTCTTTCCCATCAAACACCCATCGTCCTTATCTCCCCCTCCTTCTTTTTTATGTTTGTTCCTCTCTTGTAACACCTCTAATCTTCTGGCGCTCATATGACCTTATGCAGTTGCGAGCGCCGAAAAAACCTTTACTAAAACTTTTTAAAATCCAATCAATTACTTAAATGTGTCATTTTCATTTATGGGCCAGTCAATAAAAATTTGTTAAATGCAGGAAACAAAATATTGTCAAGATTATTTTCCTTCATCTCAGTTCACTCTCTGGGTTTATATTCGTTTTAGGTACATTTAAGACATACACATGCCTCCATTACTAATACCTTGCATTGGTTTCTCAACAGGACTCACCTTCACTGAAAAGTGGACAACAGAAAATGTGCTCAACACAGAAGTTAAGATTGAGGATCAACTTGCTGAGGGACTTGATCTTACCTTTGATACTTCATTTGCCCCACAGACAGGGTGAATATTTTTATGTGATTTTGTGGTGTCCTGTCTGAGAGTTTTTTTTGTGGTTTTTTTAAATTTATTTCATGCTTTATAAGATCCCTACTTGAATCATGACTGTTGGTGTTTTTTTGTTTTGTTTTGAAAACCAAAATGTAATTATTGAAAACCTTTGGGGTTTTTTTTTTCAAACACTGCTACAAATTCATCTGCTGTCATTGTAACATTGCTATCCTGTTATGGAACAGACATGTATGCAGCTACTATTTTTAATATGCCTCATGTATGTGTTCATTTAAAAAAAATTTTTTTTTTTCACAAGAGACTGGCCTTGCCCTTAAAGACTTTTCTGTTACAGACGTGTAGTGATAAGTGAATGAATAGTGTTTTTTAATTTCATTCTTATTTTCTTTCATATTTAGAAAAAAGAGCGGAAAAGTCAAGAGTGCATACAAGATGGACTATCTGAACTTGAACTGTGATGTTGACTTTGACTTCGCTGGACCAACTGTGCATGGTGCCGCTGTTCTTGGGTATGCAGCTATGTGCAGCTATTTGTCCTGTTTATGGCTTTATTGCTTTAAAAATGACTGTATTTTAATGAGGACAGTGAACTTTGGTAAATGGGAATATCGAGATAACGTTGCACTTTTGAGAAGTAAATAAATTCAAACAAAATTTCTTACTTTTCTCAAGTGAGTATTGTCAAGATTTGTTATTCTTTTCTGCCAAATATGGTATGTTTTGAGCATCACTGTTATTTCGGGTGATGAATTTATTTTTTCTTGATATCATTATTTTAAAAATAAACACTGGTAATCAAAGATTCTCGATTGCTGCTTGTGTGACTACTGAAAACTGGACATTGTCTTAAACATTCCAAATAACTGGTTATTTGTTGCAGCCCATCCTGTTATTTTCTAAGGGTCATTAAGCGGTTATGAATCACTGAAAGTTGCTCCTGGTACTTATCTCTTTGAGAAACAAACGATTTCTTTCCATTTTAGGTATGAAGGCTGGCTTGCTGGATACCAAATGTCATTTGACTCCTCCAAGTCAAAATTGACGCGTAGCAATTTTGGATTTGGATACAATGGTGGAGATTTCTCATTTACCACCAATGTGTAAGTATGATCTTGTCTGGTAATCATTGACCATGCATTTTCCCTGTGTGCTCTATCCCGGTGGCTTTTAATTCAATTAAAGATCCCATCCAAATTACAGCTGTTTGGTCAGCACATAGAATTTGCCAACCTGGTATATAGTTTGGATGGGACTGCAACAGCATACAGCATTGGAGTCAGTGCTCAGGTATGAATATTGACCTGGGGGTCAGTTGCAGGAAGCTAGAAAGCGACGTTGGCTTTTTGTAGTTAGGAAAAGTGATAAAAGATAAAGGTCAAAACCTTTTTATTGTTGGATGGACATGTGTTATACATTGGACATGTCTGTAGTACAAAAAGGGTAGATGAGCAGTACCTTTCTCACCAATACATTCTTTTTTTCGATTAATGTTTATGTGCTGAGATTATAATGATAAATACAATGAGAATGAGATCTGATGGTAAAAGTTTATTATGATGAGACAACTATTAAGTTTATATACGTGTACATTCATAAATTTTTATATGTTCAAGTATGAACACCATTCTGATATTTTGTCAATTCTTTCAGAAACAACACCTGGGATGACGAGTAGGCTTATGTTCGTTTTCAATTGTTCCAATTTTGTGTTATTTCATCTGAAATCTCTGCTTGTTATTTTTTATTTAAAAATTGTTTTCAGTTGTTTCGAGTTTTGTAATGTTATTTTATGAAGAGTTGCACTAGTTTTTTAGGTTTTCCTTTTTTTTTTAGTTCAGTGTCATAAGTGATGGCTTTGATACAAGTGGAAATTAACTTCTGTAGTCTTTGCCTCAGATTCCCATTGCTTGGGAGAAATGAAAACGCAGGATCTTTCCTAAATCACCGGGGGGAAGAATCCCTGGTGACTCATAGTCAGTCAGGCCTGCAATGGGTAAAATGATCTTCCCTTTTATTTAATATGATTTTGAGGGTCTTAGTACAGAAGTACGTGTTTGAGTCCAAAAGTACCTATTCTTCGTTTTCTTGTTTTGCTCCCCATGGACTTGGCGATGCTGAAAAAAATTTATGAGCTTTCAAGACTGGATTTGCAAATAAAAATGAGAATGAAGTCCATAAGTTAATTGGAGTTGCAACAATATATAAATACAGATCTTTACTAAACATTTCTCACATTATTGTTGCATGTCTGCTTTAAATAGCTTGAATTTATTGAATTTAGAAAAGAGTTTGGAGGAGGTTACTAGGCCAATGCCCACAAGTTTGCTGTGTTTTAAAATGAACTGAAGTGACGACCAATCACAATGGTCTCTCTAAGTTGATGAGGCATGCTATTTTCACTTATCCAGTTATGAGTCTCAATATTTCAGACGATTCCATTGCTCTTCCCCTTAACATGTCCAAAATGTTTAGCTTTCCATCTCTGACCGAGTTCCTTACTCATATTGTAGCGCATCATAGTGTTGTGACCGCACCAATTAAATTCAAAGAACGAAAGGCAGGCTCCCCGCCAACAGGTGACCACATAAAGGCATGACAAAGACGATCGAGACAGTCCCTGTGGATAGGCACCAGCTTGTACTAAACTGAGGTGCAGAAATAAAAGACAAGTTCATGTGAAGGGCTCAAATGCCAATTGAGTTCACACCTCAGCTTGGTGTGGGACAAACATACACACTCATCGAAGTTTACAATGGGGGTGTGATCGCATTCACAAGAGTGACATGATGGGCAGTACTATAATGGCAAATTTTCCCCCTGTCTTATCCGATTACAACCCTTCAGGGTGGGGCTTTTTGTGTTGTAAGAATGTGTTCTTAAAATAACAGGACCATTTGTGGTGGGATTTTATGTGGAGGCTACTGTACTTTTTAAGTGGGCTGATCTGCTTACATATATTATTATTATTGCACCTTCGCCCTGTTACTGTAAATTTGCATTGACCAGTTATGATTAGTTTTGTCCTGATATGCCAGTGATGCAATTTTTTTTTTCTCCTGAAGCTTGTTCGTTTTCTGTACTCCTTTAACCATCCTGTCCTTTATGAACTGATACGTGAAAGCTTTGGCTGGTTTTCATCCTGTTGTAAAAGTGCTCTGCGGTTATTATTTAGTTGGCGCTGTATAAACAAGCGAACTGTTGAATGTTAATAACTTAATTAGGTATATTATGTAAATTTTGTTTCATACTCATAGATGATTTTGGGTTAAATGCAGATTTGTACTTATACTTTACAGCATCCCCCTGTCATGTAATGTCTATTGACACTTGTGTCGCTCTGACCCATTTCAGGCTGCTCTCATAGTTGTGTTCTTCCACCTATCTTTTTGATAAGCCCCTTATATAAGCTGGCCATCGTATTTTGCATTCTGGAATCAGAGAAAGGTATTCTGTTCACGAGTTTTTATTGCCTTTTATTCCAGTAATGATGGCCAGGAATTCCAAGGCTCCATCCACCAGAAGGTCAATGATAGCCTAGAGGCTGCAGTGAGCCTTGCCTGGACTGCTGGTACTGGCAGCACCACATTTGCCCTTGGCGCCAAGTACAAGCTGGATGATGATGCTTCTATCAGTGTAAGTAGTGCATATTCTGTTTGTGTAAAGGGAAGCTCAACACTACTAGTTTGTCTTCAAATGAGATGTTTTTGGACTGACGTTGTTTTGGGAATTTCCAATGCTCCACCCGTTTGGTTTGTTTGTGCCAGAGGTGTGCCATTAAATTCAGAGGTCCATCATCTTGTCTTACGTTTGAATGGCTTTACATAGCAATGGCAATGAAAAATTAAATTTTTATCCAAACAAGCTTAAATGAAAGCAGAGTAAATTCTTAGAACTGGGGGGGGGGGGTTAATCCATTGATAAATTTAAAAGTTACTGGGATTTTTAATTGCAAAATTTTGGGGGACCTTCATATAGGAAAATATCGCCAAAAAAATGGGACGTTTTTTAATGTGTTTTGAGGGAAAACTGTTCATAAGTCAGTAATCAATGGGAATATATGAATGAAAATTGGTGTCTTCTTGTGATTTTTAGTGCAGAATCTAGTTCTGCTATCACTTTTTCAATGCCTTTATTACTTTGGATCTTTTAGACTAATATTTGCGTGAAAATTTGTTGAATTGTGCAGCATCGTTTGACTGGGATCGATCACCCCTTCTACTACTTTGCAAAGTGGTATCGGGGAAACCCACAATGAAGTCATCTGTGACCTATTTAGTTGAAGCTAGCCAATCACATGCCTCTCGCATGCCGGCAACTAGCGTGTGGAGTCCATGATCTAGTTTCCAGCTCTAGTGTTTTATCCATGGATATGTGGTAATTTTAAGTTGGTACGTAAAATATGCTACACACAGAGATCTGAAATTTTGCAACAATAAAGAAGACATGTGGGGTGCCTGTCTGGTCAGCAAACAATCCGCAGCTCCACTAATTTTTATAGCCGCAGAGGAAAATCGCACAAACACTGCAATTTCTCAGATTCTAGAAATCATTCGGCATTGTACGCTCGCATGTCGTTAGTTAGACCTTTCCTCTGATTGGTTGCCAAGTTTCATTTGTTTTCATCCACAAGTTTTCCCGTAACTACTTAGAAGAGAGTCGCCTCGGATCCCGAGCAGCCCAAAAATTACCCCTCGCGCGGAGCCCGATTTCTGGCCCAAAGCTCGGCGGGCGATTGGCATTGCTACTTTACATTGGTGCATTTAATAATGCCATACCCATACATCAATATGACAACCACTTGGTGCTTGGAAAACGGAAGAGAGACATGACAGAGTGAAAGGGCTTGTTTGATTTCAAGATTTCTGATCAATGAGACTTTGTCCTGGACCTTCATCAGGAAGTAAAGCTGTATTCTGTTTACACTCTTTCAACTGATGACCATTCTTACGTGGCATCATTGTGCTGCTTAACCCTTTCTGTTCGCCTTGGGGTCATTTTTAACCCCCGGGGTTGTATTGTTCATATTTTAGAATACTTCTAGTACGAAGATCTCTTTGAAACTTTCTGTATTTCTCAGAAAAAAATCATTTTGACAGACTGTTATACAAAGCCTACGGATTGGATTAACGAGTAAATTTCCTGTTTGGAAAGTGGTGGCACAGAGTTCCCCACGTTGTATGGATACGATAGTAAAACACTACGTACGGATAGTTTAAAGGCTTGCTAGAGCAGATCTCAATAGTGCTTTTTCATTCTTATTTAAGCGTTAGTATATTTTCATTTACTTGTATCAATTCGAATGTTGCTTAGTCAACTTGAGATATGGCTTGTTTCAAAGCAAGAACTTCAGAGAATTGTTTTCACCATCATATTAGTGTTAATCCTGTGAAATGTGTTCTAAAATATTTATTCAAAAATGTCATCATTTTGTTTGTTTCTTTTTCATTCAGGCCAAGGTGAATAATTCCAGCCATGTGGGTCTTGGATACACCCAGAAATTGAGAGACGGTAAGTTGAAATACTTTTTACACATATACAGTGACTGTTGAACAATGCTAGGATGAAATGATTACTCTTACCATTGGGTAAATACAAAAATGGGTTCTTACATTATATTTCTGATGGTTGCAATAAATAAATTAAGCTTTTGGATAGCTGGTTCATGTTTTGTCTGGGTGGGGGGTTGGTTGCATGGCAATACATTACATCGTTTTAGAGATTTTGATAAATGGTCTAGGGTATAATCTAAATCAACTCCTTTCTTATAGATCTCAAGAGGAAAGAATTATCAGTAGCAAAATGATGCTGATGTCAATTACTGAAAATATCTGGTAATTGGGGTTGCGTTAAAAAGTCATTTCATGTTAGGGGAATCAGTGTAAAGCAGTTGATACTGCGAAAGGCAATTTGAAGTTTTTACATCAACCTGTGGTTTTGTTATTTATAAAGGAAAATGTCTTTCCTTTCTTTATATTCATTTTTTTCTCCTTATTTGGTAAAGTGATGAATAAATAATTGAAGGAAGCATTGTTGTTTATGTACCTGTACTTTCGTTTAAACAAGAATACTTGTAACACTTGTCACTGTATTTAAACATATTTTTTCAGGTGTGAAACTCACAGTGTCATCTTTGATAGATGGCAAAAACATCAACCAGGGAGGACACAAGGTGAGTTTTGTTTTTGTCTTTTTGATGATCACATGCATGTTATTGATCTACCTTTTCTGTTATGTTTTTTTTTCTCCAAAACCATCTATTATTACCATGTTAATTTGGCTCTACTGCCAACTGTTGCCTTTATTATATACAGTCTGATTTTTCATGACAGAATCTTCCTGTGCTCCCCCCATCGTAAATTTCTCTTGTTATAGATTATGCATCTAAGAGGAAAACTTTCATGAACTGGAAACTCCTTCTCTTCGGGGGGGTGTTTGTACCTGTCGAAGATGAAAAATGTTTTTTCAGTGCAACTCTGATTTGAAACAAAACTCCAAGGTTTGGTTCAGTAGGCTCTTGCCTTTACTTCACGCCGCCAGATGAGGAAGGGATGGGGTGCTTGTGGTCAAGGTGGAGTGTGTGTGAAATCTCTGGGTTTCTTGCCTTTAAACTGCTCAAGTTGCATGCCAGCATGGAAACTTTCCTGGGTAGCCAGAGGTGTGGAATTAAATTTTTGACTGCAGACTGTCACCCTGATTATATAGCCGTCAGAGAAAAAAGTCCACAATCATTGTTATATATGCAGAAAAGGGGTGGCAATGATTGATTGTGCTTACTTATTACATGGGTGGATGGGGCCTAGTATGATAGCAAAGGAGACGGTCAATCATTTCTGTTTACATCGGTCAAACATTTGTTCTAATGAGATGCACGCACTGTGATGGCGTAAGATAGAGCAGCTAGGATAGCACTTGCAAAGTGTGAACTTGCCAGCAATGTTATGGCGACCGTTGATCCCATTGCGTATGATGAATGTGGTTCAGGTTAACTACTTCACCAATAGGAGCAGAAGACTTAAATTCGAATTCTGTGTGAGGTGCATTTTTATCCAGTATCAGTTTTTCTGTGGGATGTTGTATCCCTCTCAGCCTGGGTTGGCTCTGACAGGACAAAGTCTGCCTCCTCAATGATGTAAATTGTGTCTGTGAGGGTGTGAAACATCCTATATGTGGATTTTTAAAAAATGGATGGCCCTCTGGGGACATACACCACCACCACCATCCTACCCCGTCCTTTAGTTGTCCTGTCTAAGAAGAAATATTTTTCTGGCCCCTTGCGATTCTGTCCTGGGCAGATTCAGCTGAATATTCACCATATGTGGCAACAGTATTAAAAGGAACAAAGGCTAACCTCTTAGTCCATCAGTGGCAACAGTTGATGCTTGGTAAAATATCAACGCTCCGTTCCTATCAAACATGTCTTTCTTGTCTTTTTTTTTTTTTAAGAAAAACATTTCTCTCTTTTGACACCTAATCCTCTACACTTATATATGACTGACCTATTTGTGTTGCAAGTGCCATAAAACTTACTGAAACATAAGTCAATATACCACTGCTTGGTGAAAGTGTCGGGTATAAATTGGGTTTTAAGACACACTGTCCTCTTTTGAGTTATTACACTTCTCTTTAGGACTTAATGGACCTGCATGTTTGCCGACAATCGCGACCCGACCCACGAGGCGGCCGATGCTATCGCAAGGCCCACCTCTACCAGTCAATGTGCGTAGTGCGAGGCCTGGCCGATTGCCAGCGCCCCCTTTTTCTCCTGTCGGCTTTGTCGGCACTTTCGTTATCGTGCCGACATCGGCATTTCCGACATAATTGTCGGAACCGGAGTAGAAATGCGAATACGAAAAAGGACGACGATCTAAATTATCTACTTTCAGTTTCGTGCTCGAGCGGCCATTTTGAATTTCGTTTGTTGACTAATTCAATTGTTCAGATCATGTGGATTCATTCAAGTCCCGACTCACTATACTAATAGAATCTAGATCTAGATCTATATTAGATCATTATAGAACTCAATGGAGGATTCATATTCCAATTCTATTGTGTCAAGCCCTATCTTAGGTTGTGCTGTAATATTAATGTTGGTAAAAAGCATTTCATCAGGTGCGTGAATTATTTATTTATTTAGAATCATCTAGATTCTAGACTCAGCTGAGTCACATTGTTTGGAATCGGATGCGGATTTCTAGTTCAAGGCCTATTCCTATTCACTTGTTCAACAAGATCTAGATTTATTTAGATTACTAGATCTATAATGGAGGATTCATATTCCAATTCTATTGTGTTATTGTATCAAAGCCTATTAATACTATTATAATAGCAATGTAGATCTAGATGTAGATTTAGATCTAGGCCATACTATGCTCCTTGTTTGTTTTGGAGTGTGTGTGTGTTTTTTTTGTTTTTTTTTCATTTTGGACTTGTGCTGGCCTTTTTACATGAGGCCCGTTGCAGGTTCTTTTTTTTGGGGTTAGGCCTAGGGTTAGGTCTCTTAGACTTTGTTGGGGTGGTCGCTCGTTACTCGGAAGTCCTTCCTTGTTTCCTCTTATTGTATAGCTATTTGCAATTTTTCATTACGAGCAAAGGACTAGAAAATGCATTCTGCTTGGTTATACTGCTAAAATCCAAAATATTTCTTGTACCTGATTTACTTCATCTGAAGTAGTTGTACCCATTTAGATGGCTGTTCATCACAATGTGACAATTCATGGGGTGGGGTATAGAATGTAGTCTTGCTGCCTACGATTTCTTTTCTCCAAATTCCAGGAATTGACACATCTGCAAATGGGTCGTATCAAAAGTTACCCTCTTTTGTTGAAGAAAATCTCTGTCCTAGTCTTAATCTTTGTGTTTTCCTTTTCAGTTTATGTAACTACAAGTGCTGATAAAATTGTACAATTTTGAATGTTTTCAGTATGTATTTACTTTGAGATTGTACTTTTTCATCAGACTGGGGATTTTTCAAGCTTGATGCTAAATCAAAAACCGACAATGGTGTTGAATTCAAATCTGCCCTGAACTCAAACAGAGACACAGGCAAAGTAGCTGGCAATTTGGAAACCATGGACAAGTGGACTGAATATGGTAAGCATGCTATCTTTTATTTTATGTCGTTTTTCATACTTTTTCCAGATTTAGTTTTATGGCTCCGGTACATGAGATTTCATCATTCCTATTTTTGGTACTACAGTCTTGCAAACATATAGTGAACAGAGGTCCAAATATTTGTTACTCACCATATGTTTGACATGGTGATATCAGGTGCTCTGAAAAATAATGAAATCAAAGAAATTGACATTTTTCCACCTCTTTGGCAATATTAACGATAATGTTTTGGGCTCAACAAATTTTATTGCATGGATTTTACTGAAAAACATTGAACAAAAGCACGAAAGATAAATTTGCAGCTTCCAGGGACACTACAGGTTTGAAAGTCAAGCTTTGGTGGCCATGTTCTTGCCAGATTACCTCTTGCACCAGATGAGCCCCTCCCCCTTCAATTGCAAATATCTCAACCTCTCTTTGAGATAGATGGGTATTTTTATTATCCAATAATAACTCTGTTCCTCACAATTGAGGAGCATCTGTTTCCTTCATGTAATGATACATATTATGCTGTTACCTATCGGGCCAAAACCTCATGACCAACATTGTTGGATCAAGGCATTTTTGTGTACTGCTTTAGTCTGACCATGTTTTAGAAAATAATGATTTTTTTTGTTAGGGCAAACAACAAAAATTCAAACATGTCTTTTCTATATATAAAAAAAGGATACTGGTATTTAAAAACACCAAAGTGGTTTATTTGGAGCTACCTAAATTACAGTGATTTAAAAAATGTATATTTAACTTACAATCAACTCCCTTCTTATAAAACCTCACATATACCACTTCAGTGGCTAAGTAGGATACTTGTATACTCTCATTTTGTAGATACGTTTTTTGTTGGGGTTTTTTCATATTGGTCCATGGTAACCATTATAATAAACATCAGTCATTTTGAGTATTGTAACAAGCATATCTTTGAGCTGTCTAATCCAATCAATATGGGTGGTTGGCGGGTGCTCTGGTGTGGTTTGCTGCTTCTTTCCCATCAAACACCCATCGTCCTTATCTCCCCCTCCTTCTTTTTTATGTTTGTTCCTCTCTTTTGACACCTCTAATCCTCTGGCGCTCATATGACCTTATGCAGTTGCAAGTGCCGATAAAACCTTTACTGAAACTTTTTAAAATCCAATCAATTACTTAAATGTGTCATTTTCATTTATGGGCCAGTCAATAAAAATTTGTTAAATGCAGGAAACAAAATATTGTCAAGATTATTTTCCTTCATCTCAGTTCACTCTCTGGGTTTATATTCGTTTTAGGTACATTTAAGACATACACATGCCTCCATTACTAATACCTTGCATTGGTTTCTCAACAGGACTCACCTTCACTGAAAAGTGGACAACAGAAAATGTGCTCAACACAGAAGTTAAGATTGAGGATCAACTTGCTGAGGGACTTGATCTTACCTTTGATACTTCATTTGCCCCACAGACAGGGTGAATATTTTTATGTGATTTTGTGGTGTCCTGTCTGAGAGTTTTTTTTGTGGTTTTTTAAAATTTATTTCATGCTTTATAAGATCCCTACTTGAATCATGACTGTTGGTGTTTTTTTGTTTTGTTTTGAAAACCAAAATGTAATTATTGAAAACCTTTGGGGTTTTTTTTTTCAAACACTGCTACAAATTCATCTGCTGTCATTGTAACATTGCTATCCTGTTATGGAACAGACATGTATGCAGCTACTATTTTTAATATGCCTCATGTATGTGTTCATTTTTTTAAATTTTTTTTTTTTTCACAAGAGACTGGCCTTGCCCTTAAAGACTTTTCTGTTACAGACGTGTAGTGATAATTGAAGGAATAGTGTTTTTTAATTTCATTCTTATTTTCTTTCATATTTAGAAAAAAGAGCGGAAAAGTCAAGAGTGCATACAAGATGGACTATCTGAACTTGAACTGTGATGTTGACTTTGACTTCGCTGGACCAACTGTGCATGGTGCCGCTGTTCTTGGGTATGCAGCTATGTGCAGCTATTTGTCCTGTTTATGGCTTTATTGCTTTAAAAATGACTGTATTTTAATGAGGACAGTGAACTTTGGTAAATGGGAATATCGAGATAACGTTGCACTTTTGAGAAGTAAATAAATTCAAACAAAATTTCTTACTTTTCTCAAGTGAGTATTGTCAAGATTTGTTATTCTTTTCTGCCAAATATGGTATGTTTTGAGCATCACTGTTATTTCGGGTGATGAATTTATTTTTTCTTGATATCATTATTTTAAAAATAAACACTGGTAATCAAAGATTCTCGATTGCTGCTTGTGTGACTACTGAAAACTGGACATTGTCTTAAACATTCCAAATAACTGGTTATTTGTTGCAGCCCATCCTGTTATTTTCTAAGGGTCATTAAGCGGTTATGAATCACTGAAAGTTGCTCCTGGTACTTATCTCTTTGAGAAACAAACGATTTCTTTCCATTTTAGGTATGAAGGCTGGCTTGCTGGATACCAAATGTCATTTGACTCCTCCAAGTCAAAATTGACGCGTAGCAATTTTGGATTTGGATACAATGGTGGAGATTTCTCATTTACCACCAATGTGTAAGTATGATCTTGTCTGGTAATCATTGACCATGCATTTTCCCTGTGTGCTCTATCCCGGTGGCTTTTAATTCAATTAAAGATCCCATCCAAATTACAGCTGTTTGGTCAGCACATAGAATTTGCCAACCTGGTATATAGTTTGGATGGGACTGCAACAGCATACAGCATTGGGGTCAGTGCTCAGGTATGAATATTGACCTGGGGGTCAGTTGCAGGAAGCTAGAAAGCGACGTTGGCTTTTTGTAGTTAGGAAAAGTGATAAAAGATAAAGGTCAAAACCTTTTTATTGTTGGATGGACATGTGTTATACATTGGACATGTCTGTAGTACAAAAAGGGTAGATGAGCAGTACCTTTCTCACCAATACATTCTTTTTTTCGATTAATGTTTATGTGCTGAGATTATAATGATAAATACAATGAGAATGAGATCTGATGGTAAAAGTTTATTATGATGAGACAACTATTAAGTTTATGTACCTGTACTTTCATAAATTTTTATATGTTCAAGTATGAACACCATTCTGATATTTTGTCAATTCTTTCAGAAACAACACCTGGGATGACGAGTAGGCTTATGTTCGTTTTCAATTGTTCCAATTTTGTGTTATTTCATCTGAAATCTCTGCTTGTTATTTTTTATTTAAAAATTGTTTTCAGTTGTTTCGAGTTTTGTAATGTTATTTTATGAAGAGTTGCACTAGTTTTTTAGGTTTTCCTTTTTTTTTTAGTTCAGTGTCATAAGTGATGGCTTTGATACAAGTGGAAATTAACTTCTGTAGTCTTTGCCTCAGATTCCCATTGCTTGGGAGAAATGAAAACGCAGGATCTTTCCTAAATCACCGGGGGGAAGAATCCCTGGTGACTCATAGTCAGTCAGGCCTGCAATGGGTAAAATGATCTTCCCTTTTATTTAATATGATTTTGAGGGTCTTAGTACAGAAGTACGTGTTTGAGTCCAAAAGTACCTATTCTTCGTTTTCTTGTTTTGCTCCCCATGGACTTGGCGATGCTGAAAAAAATTTATGAGCTTTCAAGACTGGATTTGCAAATAAAAATGAGAATGAAGTCCATAAGTTAATTGGAGTTGCAACAATATATAAATACAGATCTTTACTAAACATTTCTCACATTATTGTTGCATGTCTGCTTTAAATAGCTTGAATTTATTGAATTTAGAAAAGAGTTTGGAGGAGGTTACTAGGCCAATGCCCACAAGTTTGCTGTGTTTTAAAATGAACTGAAGTGACGACCAATCACAATGGTCTCTCTAAGTTGATGAGGCATGCTATTTTCACTTATCCAGTTATGAGTCTCAATATTTCAGACGATTCCATTGCTCTTACCCTTAACATGTCCAAAATGTTTAGCTTTCCATCTCTGACCGAGTTCCTTACTCATATTGTAGCGCATCATAGTGTTGTGACCGCACCAATTAAATTCAAAGAACGAAAGGCAGGCTCCCCGCCAACAGGTGACCACATAAAGGCATGACAAAGACGATCGAGACAGTCCCTGTGGATAGGCACCAGCTTGTACTAAACTGAGGTGCAGAAATAAAAGACAAGTTCATGTGAAGGGCTCAAATGCCAATTGAGTTCACACCTCAGCTTGGTGTGGGACAAACATACACACTCATCGAAGTTTACAATGGGGGTGTGATCGCATTCACAAGAGTGACATGATGGGCAGTACTATAATGGCAAATTTTCCCCCTGTCTTATCCGATTACAACCCTTCAGGGTGGGGCTTTTTGTGTTGTAAGAATGTGTTCTTAAAATAACAGGACCATTTGTGGTGGGATTTTATGTGGAGGCTACTGTACTTTTTAAGTGGGCTGATCTGCTTACATATATTATTATTATTGCACCTTCGCCCTGTTACTGTAAATTTGCATTGACCAGTTATGATTAGTTTTGTCCTGATATGCCAGTGATGCAATTTTTTTTTTCTCCTGAAGCTTGTTCGTTTTCTGTACTCCTTTAACCATCCTGTCCTTTATGAACTGATACGTGAAAGCTTTGGCTGGTTTTCATCCTGTTGTAAAAGTGCTCTGCGGTTATTATTTAGTTGGCGCTGTATAAACAAGCGAACTGTTGAATGTTAATAACTTAATTAGGTATATTATGTAAATTTTGTTTCATACTCATAGATGATTTTGGGTTAAATGCAGATTTGTACTTATACTTTACAGCATCCCCCTGTCATGTAATGTCTATTGACACTTGTGTCGCTCTGACCCATTTCAGGCTACTCTCATAGTTGTGTTCTTCCACCTATCTTTTTGATAAGCCCCTTATATAAGCTGGCCATCGTATTTTGCATTCTGGAATCAGAGAAAGGTATTCTGTTCACGAGTTTTTATTGCCTTTTATTCCAGTAATGATGGCCAGGAATTCCAAGGCTCCATCCACCAGAAGGTCAATGATAGCCTAGAGGCTGCAGTGAGCCTTGCCTGGACTGCTGGTACTGGCAGCACCACATTTGCCCTTGGCGCCAAGTACAAGCTGGATGATGATGCTTCTATCAGTGTAAGTAGTGCATATTCTGTTTGTGTAAAGGGAAGCTCAACACTACTAGTTTGTCTTCAAATGAGATGTTTTTGGACTGACGTTGTTTTGGGAATTTCCAATGCTCCACCCGTTTGGTTTGTTTGTGCCAGAGGTGTGGAATTAAATTCAGAGGTCCATCATCTTGTCTTACGTTTGAATGGCTTTACATAGCAATGGCAATG